CCGGATCTGTGGTCTCAGTTGGAGAAAAAAGCACTGGCCGACTGCGATCAGGATGAGGCGGGCAGCCGGGTCCGGGAGAGCGGCCGCGTCGAACACGGGGAAGAGGAGAGCGAGAAGGGGGCGGGGCCCAGGAGCGCGGGCTGGCGCGCGTTCCGGCGGCTCTGGGACCGGGTTCTGGCGCCCGCGCGGCGGTGGCGGCGCCCGCTGCCTAGCAACGGTGAGCGGCCAACCCCGGGAGGCTGCAGTGGCCGAGGGGTGGGAGAGCCCCGGCGGCATCCTCCAGCTGCCACTAACCCTCCTTCTTTTCCCCAGTGCTGTACTGTCCGGAGATCAAGGACTTTGCCCATATGACTCGCTGCACGATGTAACGGAGGCACCCAGAAGCTGCGGCAGAAGGAAGGTGGGAGCTGCATTTTCGGGGCGTGTTTTAGTGAAGGGGGGGCTGATGCCAAGGCTACCCCCTCACATTCCGGATTGGCGCTGATGAGGCAGTTAAGCCTAGGGCAGGAGGGAACGCCCTGGGAGGTTGTTGATGCTGAGCTGGGGAAGCTCCTAGACGTTCTCGCCCCATCTACTGACTGTGCCAGTCTTACATATTCAGGATGGAGTGGCCCAGGGATGGTAGAAACAAAGTCGACGTTCCCGTGGGAAGAAGACAGATTGTTTCCTTAGCTGTGACTTTGGCTTTTGTCCAGAGCAGCTCTGGTGTGTGGGAGCAACGGGTCCCACTTTAGCAATTCTGTCAATGGCTTGAACGTTTTTGAAAAGACGGAATGAAGAAGAGGCTGATTTTTGTGTATGCTATTCTCACTTCTCTAGCATGCAAGAGAACTGAGAAAAATAAACCTTCCCCTCTCCCACTTCATTGCTGGTATGCCCACCATCTCCCCCATTTCCAGTCCTGTGCTCCTAAAATTGTTCAAATGCCTCTCTGCTTATGAGGCTAGGAGCCTTACTTACTTCATTTTGGAATTGCCCCTTAACCTGTTACAGCATGTATCAGAAAGTTCAAAGGGCATTTATCTGAGGCTTTATAAAGAGAGGAAAGCCATTTGGTAAAGGCATCAATTTTTAAGCGTTTGATACCTGTTTTTAGTTAAGTGAAACACTGCCACTATTGAAAAGGTATGCACTGTACAGTTTTATACTTGTGTTCCTTAATTGGATATCCCTTCCTGTATGCCATGGATTCAGTTCCAAAATCCTGTACAGATCTTAAATTAGTGCAGTTACAGTTAAGGAACTAGCAAAATGTTAGGATTCCACTTCTGACTTACTGAATCAGAATTTGCATTTTTCCAAGAATCTCAGGTGAAGTGTGCACTGGCCCAGGTGTGACTTACATAGGCTATCACCATCTCTGGACGGAGTATTTCAGACAGAATTGGTATAAATGATAGTTGTATTGAAGGTTCTGAAGTGACATTCTGTTGATGAAATCTAAAATTTTTGTGAGCAAGCTTGTTTGCTTTTCCTCTGAATTAAAAAAATGTGAACTTACACAGTATAAGCAGTTTCTGCAACCTTACTCTGGCATTTTCCTGTCCTTAAGTCTCAGCTTAAAGATTGCCTTTTTTACAGGTTTCTTAGCATTCTACCTCGCATAGCCCCTTCAGCACTCTTGCAATTTCACTGTTTTTTTCTAGTATGTATTTCATGGGTGTCCCTCAATAGAATGTACGCTCATGAGAGCAGTACCTGACATGTTTATCTCCCAGAGCCAAGAGCAGTATTAATGTATAGTATTTATTCAATAAATGTTTGTTGTATTTATCTTTGATTTTTTAATGATAGCCTCATAAAACTAAGTGTCTTATTTCTCTCAACCTTGAGAAGCTCTGATAGCGATTAAGACATATCAAGGAAGTGTCTGGCAATTCAGATCTGTGACAGGCTATGCAGGTGCTGACACCCAGCTCCTCCCTCCCCCCAACTCCTTAATAAAAGGGTGTCTCTGTATACTTGGAACTGAACCTATGGAGCTGTAGTGACCTCTACTGACTCTTAGGGGAACTAAGTAACTTCAAAGTGGAAAGTTGTTCAAAAGGATGAATGGAAGGTACCTGTGAATCCTAGGACATTCTTCCCACTACCCTCTGTCTCATAATCCCTGCTCTTTCTCTAATCTCAGCCTGAGGCACAGCTAGGTATCCTACTACTCACCCTCCATCTCTACCCTGAGGTTCATCACATTGGTACTGGCTGGAAATAAAATGAGAAAAACGAAAAGTTGTAAAATTTTTTAAATGGTGAAAAATGTAAAATTTTTGCGAACATTGCTTATTGTTTCATTTTCCTCTTAAGTTGGGTAAGGGACAAAAGGAACAGGGAAGAGAGAAAGATGGATAAAATGAAATGGCAGGAAGCAACACCCTTTCTTATCACTCCCACCAACCAAAGAACTCCCCCACTCAAAAACAACAGAGCACACAGAAAGGAAAGTATAATTTATATGTACAACCAATAAACCTGATACAGAAGAGGGGACTGGGACAGGGCAGGAGTGGGTATGAAAAGACTGGGAAGGGGGCAGCAAGAAAGTGAAGGGGCAGCGAAGAGGAAGTGGGGGGTTCGCCATGCAAACTGCCACTCTCCCCGGCCCCTCCTGGGGAGGAGGATGGACCAAGTCTCCCCAGCCTGCCCTCCACTGTTTTGCTCTGGTCCCAAAGGCAAAGTAGTCCCGTGACTAGACTCCCTGTCTGGCCCAATCAAATTTAAGTCTGTATCCAGGCCTTCAGAAGGGAGGGTACAAGTCCTTCAAGAACCTGAGCCCCTGAACTAGATCCTCCCCCCATGTCTGGCCTGTTGTGTTCTTTCTAGGTTACCTGCATCCCTAGGATAGATTGGAGGGGCTCCTCTTTGGCTTGAGGGAGTTATCACCCAACCATTACTCTTTGTAGAGGTGGTCCTTGGTCCCTGGGGGTGGGGGTCGGGGGGAGATTTCCAACACAAGATGCCGGTACGCAGGAGGTAAATGAGCCAGTGAACAGTGCCTTTATTCTCAGGCTGAACAGCAATTGACTCCCTCCCTTGTAACTGCTCTCCCCCCATCTGGGGAGAAGTAGGGGAAGGAAACATGCAGCCACCCCTCCTCTTCCTTTCCTCCCTCCCAAGGCTCATTGTCATCCCTCTCTAAAGTTGCCCTCCTCTCTTCAAAGCTCTTTTCCCCACCAAAGTTTCTAAAGGCCAGGCAAGCTGATTCCCCACTTCTGTAGGAGGTGGGGCTTGTATTGCAGGTGTAAAGACTGGGGAGGCTCCACCTCTTTCCTCCCCACAACCATTTACTGGGAAGCTGTGTATGTTTGGCAGTGGGGGATAAAGGTACTTGGAAGACCCTGCTAACCACTTCCCACCCAGACCTCTTCTCACCAGCAGTCTTCAAAGCGTGGTGGGAAAGGTACATGGGAATGGAGAAAGACAAAGGGCCCTTCTTGAAGAGAGGAGTTGTAGAGAGGGGTAAAGGGGCTTCTAGCCCAGTGGCGGCCCAAGGTTTGGGGAAGGTGGAGGATTGGCAGCAGGCACCAGAGCCTGAGCTGAGGGTCGGCCTCTGGGGCGGGGCCTGGGTGAAGGGCAGGCCTGGGATCCAGTCAGTCGTCTATACAGATCACCTCCCCGGCTCGGGACTCCTTCCGATCCAGCCCGTCTGACACCAACGCCCCCACCATTTCCTTCTCCTTCTTCACCAGCACTGGAGGGCCGTTGGTGGCGGCTGTTTGGGAAGGGGGTAAGGAAGGATCATCAGTCCCTACTTGACTCCCAAGCACTGCATCCTGACAACAGAATACCCTTAACTTCCAGACCACCTAAATGCCAGGGTAGGGGGAAGAAGACCAAGCTCAGCCCCTCTTCACAAGATTCCCCCATGCCACATGACAGAACACAAGTTCCAACTCTCACGGGGTCCCCGCCCCCTATCTAATTTCACTGTCTTTCCCTGAAGCAACCCAGATGGAGGAGGATCAGACAGGAGCTACCTAGTCACAGAACCACTGAAACCCAGGATGAGGTTTTCAATGATGTGAACAGAAGAGGAGCTAAGACGGATGGGAAGAACAAAACCCAGAACAACTCCACTCTGTAAACTGCTGGCTACTTTTAAGGAAATAAGATGGGCCAGAACAGTTAAAAGGGGGGTAGCTGAGTATGAATAAAGCTTGGAAACGGACTGGAAGACGCAGGGAGCAGGAAGTGACCAGCTGACCTGTGATGAAGGACCCTGCAGGCATCTGGCTGTAATTGGCGCCTGCGGCGGCCAGGGCCCCTACGGGAGCGGCGCTGAAGGCTGCCCCGTACCCCGGAGGTGTGGCGTAGGGACCCGGGGGAAAGGCCTGGAATAGAAAGTAAACTGAAGTTAGACAGTCTAGTCTTTGAGAGGAAAGGAGCTATAAGGGAGACACTATGGACTAAAGTCCAGAACTACTGAGTAGCATAACACAAGCAGGGAGACTCGGTGATGAGAGTATTTGAGCAAGTTGTTTTCCACACCGTACAGGATTTTGATAGAAGTGTTTATATGTGTACAGGAGCAGTTCCAACGGGGAAAACTGGAGTTAGGGGGAAAGAGGGTTACCGGTGTGGGGTGAGGCTCCGTGCCCTTGCTGGCCAGCCGGCTGAGGATGCTGCGCTCGGACATCTGAAGGCGGGCTGCGATGGGGGGTATTCGGGACAGCGTGGCTGGCAGGCGGGTCACGTCCGCCTTCATGTCGCTCAGCAACTCCTCCAGCTGGTTCAGAACTGGGGCCCGGGCCACGGAGAAAGAAGGGCAAGAGAAAGACAGGGAAAGGGAGAGATGGAGCCAGGAAGAGATGAGGAGTCAGATGGACAGATACAGTCAGAAAAAGAAAGGACACAGTTGTCAAAGAACCAGAGACCAAGAAAATGACAGAAGTAGAGAGCAGAAAAGAAAGCAACTCAGGGGAAAAAAAGTGTCAGGTAAAGAGGCAGAGAGACCAGATTATCACAGAGACAGAAGGAAGAAAGGAAAAGGGAGTATGGAGAAAAGGGAGACGGGGAGGACATTGGAAGACATGGGGGCGGGGAGTTGTCAGAACATCCCATACTGGAAGAGTGAGGTTTGGGGGTTGGGGATGATGGGGAGGAAATAGTTAGGAGGTGTGGGAGGTTGTTAAGTGGTGTCAAAGATTAAAGGACTCGAGATTTTAGTATCTAAAGGGGGAGGGAACTTAGAGTTTCAGCATTACAGATACAGGCTATCAGAACAGAAATCAAAGGGGTCAGGAGTCAGTCTCTACTCCAGGGAGGATTAGATGGTTTGGAATTGAATCAATTATCAAGGTAAAAGGATTTGGAAGGAAGGGTTGAAGGTCAAGGGAAGTTTCATGGGGTAGGGTCAGAGGGTGGGATAGTGGTAGTGTCTGGCTCAAGAGGTGAGTGATATATGAGGGAATGTATTTGTGGGGTCAGGAGAATGGATCTTTATGGACCACACTTTGCCCAAGACCCTGAAGTGGAAACCACTAGCAGTCTAGCAGGTGTGTGGGTCAGTGAAGGGCTACCCTGGGGAGACATGGCACAGTCTCGTGGGGCGTGGGGGGAAGGTCCCTATATTAGGCATTGATGAGGCCTGGCCACACAAATCCTAGAGGCTAAAGAGCCAAGGGGAAGTCAGGTGGGTTGGGAGTGGAGTTAGAGGTGGGGGGGGGGGTTGGTTCAGAGGGTAAAGGGATCAAAGGGGTGGGAAGATTTTGAAGGGTGCGGGGTGAAGACTTACGCAGCGTTGTGGGCCCTCCCCCGCGCGGGGCCGCCGCGGCCCTTACCCTTGTGCAGGACTGCGTTGGCCGGCTTGTTCCCTGCCAGGGACTCCTTGGAGAGGTGCTGGTGGCTCTCGGCCAGGCACTCGGCCTCGGCGAAGCGGGCGTGGAGGGCCATGGCGGGGTGCGCCGGCTCCTGTGATAGGTTCAGGTAGGCCGCCCGCCGCAGCTGCTCCTCGATCACCAGCGCCTGCTCCAGGAGCTGAGGACATGGGAGATGTGAATGCAGGGAGTGGCCAGGGTGGACACAAGTAAGTGAATGGGGAGTCCAGATGCAGCCCCGGAACCCCACACTGCAGATCCACTGCACCCCCAGCTCCACACTAATAATGCGGTGGCCCCAGCATTAACCCCCAACCAGACTATAATTTCAAACACAAATTCACACTGTCTTGGCCTCAACCATCAGTCGTTCACCAACCCCTACTCGAGCTGTTACGCTTCCCTAGATCCCAAGGAGATATGGTCCCACTTCTGAGCCAAAACCCTCTTCAACCCTGTTTTTTCTTCCCTTACCCTCACCTTGAATCTCCGGGCCAGAAACTTATTTTTCATCTCCAGAAAGTTCCCTTTATTGGCTTCAGTTTTAAATGGCTCATTGATAATGGCAAATTGAGCATCATTCTGGATGTCTTGCCACCGTGCGTAACCATGGCTGCCAGTGAAGAAAGGACACCATCAAGGAATTTAACAAGGATGAGCTGGGCTATCAACACTTCTTCCCTTTAAAAAAAATCATTAACTTAACAATTTTTGAATATTTCCTTTTGATCCAGTCTCCAAACGCAGGCACAATCCCCTTCCTTGGGTATTTGTGTCTCTGTAGGTCCTTGGCAGAACCCTTCTTCCCCCTTGCATTTGTATCAAAGGATACAGAACAATCCCAGCCAGAAGCCAATAGTCGTGTCTTCGATGCCAGATCTCATTGAGTTTCCCCGAGGAAATAGCTGCCCGTTCCTCATTCTGCCACAGTGTGTGAAGCTCTGAAGAAGAGGATGGAAGACAGATCAGGTATCAAGAGTTTGTGAACCATACCCTGACTAACTGATAGGTACAGATGAAGAAACTCAGTAGTGACAGAGCACTAGAGGCTGGTTAAGAGGAACAAGTAAAGCTTAGGTGAAGGCTTAGGAATAAAACTAATCACAAATAATGTTCAAGTCAGGATTAATGACGGTGAAATTAAAGATAGCTGTGGTGTCAGGAGAACACTGAAGAGACAACATGCACCGTATCACCGGGAGCTACTTGGAATTAAAGGCAGCAGGAAGTCTCAGACAAAATGAGGCTCCACGAGATGAATAAATCCCAGCGGGGAGCAGGTGGCAGCGACACCTCCCCACACGCACACCTGTGAAACCACCGTCTGCGATGTTGAACATGAAACGCGGCTTCTCTGCCTTTTCCTCCCGTCGCCCATTGGGCCGTGGCTCGTCTCGAGGAGGCCCAGGTCGAAGCTCCCGGTCCCCCTTTATATCTTCTGCTAGAACAGACAGGCAGTGCTCACACCTCAGAACAGGGTCCAGTCCCAGAGCCAGGTCCCGAGACTACTCCCTGTACTGCACTGGCCCTAGGGGCAGCTACCCGCCCAGGACCAAGGCATGTGGCCCCCAAATGCCACCTCCCCTGATGCCCTCAGGGACTCGGGTGTCCAGTCCCTCCACCCATTACCTCTCTTGCCCAAATGCCCTGTTTCCCCCTCCGGCCTCTCCCTGTGTTCCTGTCCATCCAACGGCTTCTCCTCCCCCCTCTCTCTTGGCGTCGAATCTGTGGCTGTGGGGTAGGGTAGGGGATAGGAAGGGGAGATGTCACCCTCATCCTCTGACCTCAGATGAAGAAACCCCCAAAGTCTAAGTCCACCATGCACCCACCTGACTTCTCTCTGTCCCCCCGGTACCCAGGTTCAGTTTCCATCTCTCCAGGTACCCCTGGCACCTCATCCTCTAAAGGAGTCTTCCTTGGCTCCAGCCGCTCCCCTAGCGATGGAGCTGGGCTAGGGGCATCAGTCTGGGAAAGGACAATGACAATGGGTTAGGATGAAGCAGAGGGCTCCCAGCACCCAGCCTCCAAGACCCCTTCTCTCCTTCCCCTCATGGGGAGCCAGGTAGCCACAGACCTCTGTCTCCATCTTCTCCCCAATTTTGCTATTCTTTTCTGGCTTCTCCTCCTGGTTTTCTGCTTCATCCTTCTCAAAAGGTGTCCTTATACCATCCCCTTTCTCACTGGGAGCTGGAGTAGCTGCAGAGGAAGATAAAGTGAAAAAGCAGAAATACCCTCACTCTGACACCATTACTTTTGCATCTGCCAGACACCGGCCCCTTTCTCTCCTGTCATCCCAACCCGATTACCAGGTTTAGAGGTGCAAGGACTGTTTGTAGCAGAAGCCTCAGGGGTGGTGGGAGATGTTTTGGTAGGAGAGGAGGCTCTGGAGGAGCGCTTGGAGTCAGCACTGGGGTCAGGCATCAGCTCAGGCATCGACCAGCGCCCATTGATGTGCTCAAACTCCTGTACCTGAGGTGAGTGGGGGAGTTGTAGGGATAGGGATCAGCTCCTGCACCTGGACACACAGAAGCTCCAGTCCCCTCTGTCTCATCTCACACCAGTCTGAGCCAGGAACTCAGGGAGGCAAAGTAAAGGAAGCACAGTGTCTAAATGCCCAGCCTGACTCTCTGGATGAAGGGAAGGCTGATACCTTCTTCTTGACGAGGGACATGACTCCAATCCGGGTCAACACTTGCTGGCGACTCAGTCCCTCCCGAGGGACCCCATCAGCAAAGGTTTCAGAGCCATCTGCCCCAGGCTCGCAGAGATGGCGCATGAACAAAGATACATAGGCCCTAAGGAGTATTGGAGACAGGAGGGCAGGTGGATTAGGGGGGCCTCAGAAAGGACACAGGGGAGTGGTAATGGGGTGCACTACCTGAGTGCCTCCAGGGTTCTTTCCCCGGGGCTCTCCATCTCACCATTGCCAGTTCCCCAAATCTTAACTGCCCACCTCCCCTCCCCCATGCATTTCCCAGGGATCCTTAGCCATGATATTTTGTTCCTAGGCTCCATCAGTCAGCTCTTCATCCTTCCCACCAGCTCCCCTTCCAGAATATCACAGTCAAATCAATAAATGTGAGGCAAGGGCAGCCCAGGGGAGGCTCCTTTCTTAACCTCCTCTCCTAGGTGGGTGAAAGCCCAGCCTCTGTCCTCTAGGCTCGTCTGAGGGGAGGTGGAGCAGGCTGAGTCCACCCCCCAGGAAACCGAGCCAGGAAATGTTACATGGCTGGGAGAGCATGATGATCAGTTGAGTAAGGTCACATCACATGGAAGCCAAGAGGAAGAAAGTGACACCCAAAACTCATAGACCAGCTGAGCCATGTATCACCGCACTCACTTGAACTCCTTCTCAGTCTTGCCCCTCAGGTCCCGCACAAGCCACTGTGTGGTGAAGGCGTCCTGGGGCGGCATCCCCCAGCGCATCACTGCATTGAGGAAAGCTTTCCGCTGGCGAGTATTGAATCCCAATACCTGAGGACAGAGTGGGCAATGGAAATCCACAAGGGACATTTCTTGTCCTTTCTACCCTCAGTGACTCAGCCTGTTTCCAGCCCCCGAATACCGCTTTCTCTGTAGGGAGCACATGGCCCAGGTCCAGTTCTCACCTCAATGTTGCCCCCAACTCGAGCCAGCAGTGGAGGCAGGGGCTTGTCCTTTTCATTCCGGAGCTGCCTCTTGGACTGTCGACGTCCTGGGGGGTGGTGATGGCCCCAGTTAGGAAGTCCACCACCTCCTCCACCCTTCTATCCTTCCCAGCACCTCATTCCAACATGACACAGGACATAGTGAAGGCTTGTGTCACGTCAGGCTCTTCTAATTTTTTTTCCCAAGTTCTTTCAGAACTATTAACCCAGTAGGTCTAAAAGAATCAAGTCATATTCGTAGCAGATAATTGATGATAGCAAGATTACAGACAGGTACGTAAACCGACAATACCCTTCCTGATCTAGGCAGCTAAGCCTGCATGGTTATACAGTCCAGTTTTTAATGGTGGAAGGATTATAGATATTTCTTCCTAATTGCTTACAAGCAATCTTTAGTTTCTCTACAGAAAAGCAATGATTTATATAAAAAACGGAACTTAAAGGACACTGGGAAGTAAAATGGGAAAAGCTGTTGGCAGAAAGTCAGGAAAATAGATGCTACCTTCAGGACGCTCATCAAAGTCTTCATCTTCCTCCTCTGAACCCACTGAATATTCTGACTGGTTATCTGTAAGAGAAGAGACTCATCAGTCAGTGATGGCTCCCTGGACAAGCCCGAGCTAGGGGCCCTCCTGCTCCCCTCAGAGACATGTGTACCTTCATTCTGGCCTTTGCCTCTCAGGAATGATGGCTGACTGCCTGCAGTCTGATTTTTGGGTTATTTATCTGAACTGTATCCTCTCCACTCACTACCCACCTTGTCTCTCAATGACCCCTTAGCCCATTGTAAGCAAGGACCTTGAGTGTTTATGTCCCCTGCGATCACCAGATCTCTTAGGTCACCAGCAAAACTCCCGGGCCTCCACTCTTCCTAAGCTTTCACTTTAGCAGGAAAGATCTGACTCCTACACATCCCTCTGCTCTAAGCCCCTCTTCTGATCTCTTCCCTTCCTGGTTCCTGCATGGGGGCAGTTCTCACCTTGGTCCTCCTGGGCAGCATCATTGTAGTTAACTTGCTTTCGAACCCGCTTGCCCTTGCCAAGATTCCTAGCTAAGTCTTCCTGCTGTTGTTCATAGTGATGCCTCAGCAGCTTCTCCCAGTAGTCGGGGTCCACATTCTCCTCCTGCTTGATAATTTCTCGTTCAATTTCCTCAATCTGAAGAGCAGAAGAATGAATGCTAGGAGGAATGAGCTCTGATGGTCTCCCACTTCACCCAGTCCTTCTATTACAACAAAATCCCAACACTCTTGCCTCAGCACCATCCACCCAGTCTCACTGCCCTAGAATGCCTCAACTCTGTAAATGTTCTGGACACTATGTGATTTCTTAATTTCTCTCTCTTTTTTTAAAAAAATATTCATTTATTTATGCATACAAGAACTAGGGTCTAGGCCAGAGTGAGAGAGGGTGAGAGGGTTCACCAGGGAAAGTGGGGAGCAGAACAGGCAGACTGACTGAAATACACTGCTGAGGGAAGCAGCAGGCGAGACAGGACAGGTCTGCTGTGTTATATGGGTCAGCTCCCTGGCCAGAGGTTGAACTCATGCCATAGTGGCTGGCGATAAAGCTTGATCGTACTGAGATTTAACCCCTTGCACCACCAGGGAGGCCCACTTTCTGTAGCTTTTACCTGTCGCATGCATCCCCTCCTTGTTTTTTTACCCATTTTCTAGCTCTTTCCTCTACTGCACTCTGTGTCCCTGCTCTGACTCGGAAATACCCTTCTATGTTTATTGCCATTTTCTGTGCCTATGTCTTTCTCCAAAGGTTGGTGTCAACCACGAGATAAAGAAGTAGGTTGAGGTCTACTCTACTGTAGATGAGAGATCAATTAAGATACAAGAGTAAAGAGGTGTGCACCTACTCTGACACCCAGAAAAGGACACTACACAAACAGACCCCGTCGGGCCCCAGCATCTTACCTTGTCTTCTTCCCGCACCACATACTGAGCCACCTTAAAGGAGCTGAGATACTCATTCATGTTCTGTACGTCAGTGTCCTCAGTTGCATCCTGGTTCCGGTCTAACAGCCGAGCAATGGCCTCATTGTCATAGTGAATCACACTGCTGTCCTCCTCCTTGTTCTCTCCTGGTGGAAACAGGGATTAAGAGGGGACTCTGAGTTCTAACTAGAACCTTGGGCAGGCCTTCAAAGAGGAAAGCTTTCCTTTCCACAGGAGCTCTAAAAGAAAAGGCCCTTCCCTGGAGTCCATTTAGAGACCTGTTGCTGTGTTCAACCCAGAAGTAAAGAGGCCCTTTCCTCCAAGAACAGAAAAGGTTTTCTTTAGGGGGTTTCAAAAGTGAAGAGTTCCTAATAGGGGGCTGCTTTCAGGGAGTTGCAGAAAAGGTTCTTACCCTCGTTTTCATCCTTAAACAACTCCTCAGTGCCAAATTTGAGGATGTCATCCAGCTCCTGCTTGGACATGGAGCCTGCCTTGGAGCCCAGCCCAGGCCGCACCACCAGATGTGTCAGCATCATCTTTCTCTTGGCTACTTGTGTGATTCGCTCTTCCACTGATGCTCGAGTCACAAAGCGGTATATCATCACTTTGTTGGCCTGGCCGATCCTATGAGCCCGGCTGAAGGCCTGCAGGGTGAGGGAAAGTAGGCATGGACCAGGGGAGTGACAGGGTAAGTGCCACCTCCAGGATGCGAGGCCGGCAAGGAATGGTTTTCTACCCACTGAGGTTTATTTTGAGTCTAGAACATGATACCCTCTTCTCTATATGCCCACGTCCCTTCAACAGTGCAAGGACTCCAGAAGACGCATTCCCACCTGGATGTCATTATGGGGGTTCCAGTCAGAATCGAAGATGATAACGGTGTCAGCAGTAGCTAGATTGATGCCCAGGCCTCCAGCTCGGGTGGACAGGAGAAAGCAGAATTGTTGGGCCCCAGGAGCTAGAAGTTAAGTATTAGCACATCAGTCTTTTCTTGTACCTAACAGTTCTGTCCCACCTGCTCCTCGAGGTTCCTTGACTGAAAACAACCAAGCCCCCAGCTCAAAAGCCCAGATAGCTAATATCCACCCAGGCCGTTCCCTATCTCATTCAGGGACCTGGGTACAGATTTTTACGGGCTTCCCCCCGCACACAACAGGGACTGAGGTTTTCTTCCTTGCTCACCATTGAACCTATCGATGGCTTCCTGCCTCAGAGCACCGGTAATGCCACCATCAATGCGTTCATACTTGTAGCCTTCATAGTCTAAGAAATCCTCTAGCAAGTCTAACATTTTGGTCATCTAGAGCAAGAGAAAAGGAAGGAGTCTAGAGTGATGAGCAATGGAGTGGGGCTTGTCTTACCCTCTTATCTGTCTAACCCTTTAATCTTGTATCCCCTCTTCTGTCTCATGTTCCCCACTATGAGTCCCTCCTCCCCTAGCTTCTCTTCAGTCCACATTTTTGTTATACTCTATTGATTTAAAATCATTACCCTTAAGGAAGAGGGTCTTCTCTGATACCCTGATTTCAGGGAAATCAACAACCCCCCCCCCGAAAATCTGTACGGAATTGTAGAATTACATGTGTAGTTTTCTAAAGAGTAGACCCACAGATTTCATCAGACTTCCAAAAGGTCTGTGCTCTTCCGTTCCCAATAAGGCTAAGGAATAGTATCAGTTCCAGAGACTGCCTTGTGGAGGTAGATGGCACATCCTTCTCTCCACCTGACTTAGAGAACCTGGACTACAACTTTTGATAACCTAACAGGTATCCGAGGCCAGCGAGAACTAGTTACACCAGAAATTTGTAAAGATGCAATCTTGAGTCTCTTATACCATGGCAGGCTCAGAAGGAGAAAAGGCCAGGGGCCAGGCCCAAGTGCACATGAGCGGAGTGGGTCACCTGCGAGAAGATGAGTACTCTGTGTCCTTGCTCCTTCAGTTTCCGCAACATCTTCTGCAGCAGCATGAGTTTTCCAGAAGCCTTAATAAGTGCCCCACCCTCATAAGCCCCACTGGGGAGTTTTGGGGACTCCTGCAAAGGGGAAAAGAGGGAAGAGAAGATCAGGACACACGCCCTCAGCTACTTACTGTAACTACCAAGCTGGAAACCCAAATTTAGCTCCCACGCCTCTGAAATTACTACTTCTCTCAGAAGGCCAATCCCTACCAGACTGCCCCATTTTCAGAGAGCCAAGCATCTAATTGGTTTGCAGATCTTGGTACCCACCATAGCAGCCACAGGAAAGAGGTATGGATGGTTGCAGCACTTCTTAAGATCCATCATGATGTTAAGCAGCGACACTTGGTTCCCGCCACCTCGTGAATTCAAAGCCTCAAAATTTCGAGTAAGGATGTACTTGTAGTATTTTCTAAAGACCAGAGCAGGGACATAGAATCTGAGATATAATGACAGAATTATATAATAAAGAACTATAATGTTGCCCTTGATCACCAGCTCTTGGAAAATTGCCACCAAATCCCCAAGCCCTAGGCCAGGGAGCCCTCCTTGCTTCTTACTTCTGCATGGGGCTCAGCTCCACTCGAACTATGAGCTCTGTCTTTGCTGGCATGTTCTTAAAGACATCAGCCTTGAGCCTCCGCAACATATGTGGCCCCAGCAAATCATGCAGTTTCTTAATCTGGTCCTCTTTGGATATGTCAGCAAACTCCTCCAGGAAGCCTTCCAGATTGCTAGTAGCCAGGAGATAAGAAAATAAGCAGCTGTCAGGTTCTTTGCTCCTGACCTCAGACTCTATTTTTCACTCCAGATTAATCTTGCACTCATGCACTTGCTTGGACACTCCTACCACTCATCTTGTCAGACTATACTCACTAAGCCACTTACTTAAACCTCTCTGGGGTGAGGAAGTTCAGCAGATGGAAGAGTTCCTCCAGATTATTCTGCAGTGGAGTCCCTGTCAGCAGCAACTTGTGGTCTATCTTGTAGCCATTGAGGACCCTAAAAAACTAGAAAATGGGAAAAGGATAGGTAAAGAGAGGGCCGTATCAGTGGTAAGTGGTTGGTTCACAGAATCAACTTTTCCTGCCTCCAGCTACCATTCCCTTCAGGATCACAGGCCCCAAATCTCTAGTCCTCCCTCTGTTTCAACCTGGACTTGTCTCCCCAAGATTCCCAGGAATCCTGCTTCCCAAACTGTAGAAAGTCTCCAGAACTACTTCTTAGGACCAGGGCAAGTAGGAATCCACACCCTCAAGTTTATGAGATGTGTTATTTCACTCACCTTGGATTGGTTGTTCTTGAGCCGATGGGCCTCATCCACCACAAGGCAGGCCCAGCGGATGGAGCCAAGTGCTGCCTGATCGATGGTGATCAGCTCATACGATGTCAGGAGAACATGGAATTTCACCTGTGCCTCCCTCTGCCAACATAATCACTGCTCATTTGACTGCTACCCAATAGCAAGCATTCCATCCTCCAGCCCGCATTCTTCACCCAGACAGCCTGTCCTAACCACGTCTCCCAAGGGAAGCCAGTTATCCTGTCCCACTTTGATTCCATGAAGGGCTTACTGAGTGTGCCCCCAGTTTCCATCACAGGTCCAGTATGGACTGATCATGTATGTCCTTGGCAGTACTCGCTACATCTCCAGGACTGGAGAGCAGAGGTGAGGAGACAGATAAAGGGAAGGAGGGACACAAAACTGAGTGGGGAATAAAGGAACTGAAATCCTCCTTGGGGAATAAAGGAACTGAAATCTCCTTGAAACAAAAAAATGACAGAATTGATGTGAGGGAGAGGGACTTACCTTCATTTTAAAAGCTTTCTTGCCACCTTTGATGGCATTGTCCTCGAAGGAAAATTCATTCTCACGAATGATGGCCCGGCTGTCCTTGTCACCCGTGTATGTAACCACATAGAACTTGGGTGCCCACATCTGGAACTCCCGCTCCCAGTTGATGATAGTAGAGAGTGGGGCACTCACCAGGAAAGGACCCTTTGTATGGCCCTGGGAGTTGAGAGTAGGGGGACTATTAGCCTAGGCTCAGGAATGTGTCTCTCCACTCTTTGCCTATCACAGCCCTCCTCTCAGCCCCTTCCCCTTATCCCCACTCCCATCCAGGCTGTCCCCTCCATAATCCAGCTCACCTCTTTATAGAGTGAGTAGAGGAAGACGATGGTCTGTATGGTCTTGCCCAGTCCCATCTCATCAGCCAGAATTGTGTCCGTGCCCTGGGCCCATGAGAAGCGTAGCCAGTTCAGCCCTTCCAGCTGATACATGTGCAGTGTGCCACCAGTGGCGGTGATAAACCTTGGCTGAGTTTCATATTTCACTGTAGGCTGTCGAGTCAAGAAGAGAGTTCAAGGGTATAGTCAGTCGCTCCTCTGGTCTTGGTTTCCTTCTCCCTCCCTGGTATTGTTATCAAATTTGACTACAGCTTTTTCTACTATGGTCCAAACTTATGTGAGTTCTAGTCTTCAGTCCCTCCCTGTCATCCCTTAAATCAGTACCCCAGAGCACCATAGTGAAGGGTAACTGGCACGGAAGCCCATGTGCTGCTGCCTCTTATGTCTCTCTGGCTCCTATGCCAAAATTTCTTGCCACTCTTGGGGTGTAGCTGAATACTAAAAGAAGAGCTATTATTCAAAAAGGCTGTTGAAGTTCTGGGAAGTTCTATTAGTAGTCCCTCAGGAGGGCCCTCCCTGGTGGCACAACAGGTTAAAGTGCAGCACTATAAAGCTATCTGCAGCCACTGCAGAATGAGTTTGATTCCCATCCAGGGAGGTGACCCACATGGCACAGCAGACCTCTCCTGACCCACCGGCTGCTCCCCTCAGCAGTGTACTTCTTCGATCTGCCTGTTTTGTTCCCCGCTCTTGACTCTGGTGAATCCTCTCACCTCTCCCTAGTTCTTATGTACATAAATAAATAAAGTATTTTTTAAGATTTATTTATTTATGTATACAGAACTGGGGTACAGACCAGAAGTGCAGGGTTGGTGAGAGGATTCACCAGAGACAGAGTGGGGAGCAGAACAGGCAGATCAACGAAGTACACTGCTGAAGGGAGCAGTGGGCAGTTCAGAAGAGGTCTGCTGCGCCATTTGGGTCACCTCCAAGGCTGGGGATCGAACTCAAACAGTGGCTACTTCTAGCGTCATAGTGCTGTGCTTTAACCCTTTGTGCCACCAGGGAGGGCACGATAAATAAATTTTCTAAAAAAATAATATACCCCCAGGAAATATCAATAACCATGCTCCGAACACAGGAGAAAGGCCAAGTGAGAGAACTTACATCATTAGTAGGAGAACTGGGAGGTCCATCACCCTGAAGTTCCTTCTTCTTCTTCTTGTACTTGCGGGGCTGAGCAGGATCCTCTCCCATAATTAATTCTCTGGGAAGAGTAGATCTGAGTAAGGTTGGTCCTTGGAACACCTTATCCTCTCTCCTGAATACACTCCAAACCTACCTCCCACTTTCTAAAACCTAGTTAAATATCTTTTTTCCAGGTACTTTACCTTCATCCCATAGGTTTCACCTAGAAATTCAGTCTTCCTCCCTCAATCTCCCCTTCCCCATCACCCAGGCTAGATCTTCTTTCTGTTCTTCACATTGCCTCTTTATCATCCCCAACCCAAGTAATCCAACCAAGTAATCCATTCCACTGCCCTAAATTCTAGATGGGGTACCTCATTTTATTTTAGAGGTTCAGTTTCCAAGCCCACATCCTCAGAGTCTCTCTGACCCCCACATTGGCCCCCTCACCGGTGTCTCCAGTAGCTTTGCTTATGGTCTTCATATTCAGGGATGTTCATTTCATCTTCTTCCCATGTAGACTGGTCATATGGCAAGTCCCTCCATTTCACTAGATAGTGGTAATTCCCCTTTTTATCCATACTTTGAGAAGGGAAGCCAAGAGGAGGAGTAAGATGAGAAAAATAATAATGATCATAAAGAGAAAGAAGTCCTCATGAACTCAATATTCAGCCAACACACAAATATTGTCACTTAATCCTCAATGGAGGACTACTGGAAAGGAGTTTAGAATGGCTGAAGTTCTTGTCTAACTTTTTCAGGATGGCATCCTAGGAATCAACATCCCTGGGCTTCTATGTCATTCTTTCCTCCAGTCGGTATTTACTAAGCCTCTATCATGTTCTAAGCACTGCACTCGTGTTTCTGCAGTAAACAAAACAATCCCATTCTCGTGAGGCTTATATTCTACTGTGGAGGACAATAATGAACTAGGAAAATAAATGTATAGCATAATGTTAGGTTGTGATAAGCACCCTGCAGAAAAAAAATATAGAAACACTGATTTGGAGGAAATGTTTCTTTTTTCTTTTGTTTTGCTCTCAGGTCCTGATCTCCAGAACCACGTGTCATTCCTTATACCATTAGAGGTTCCAGAGAAGCAAAACAGGCAAGTGCTGGGCTAGCTTTCCTCCTGCTTTCTCACACCCCACAGAGGAAACAAAAACAGAAGGGTTGGAGCTACAGGAAGCATTAACCAGGTTAGATCAATAACCTGGTTAATAAGCAAATATTAACATGGGACCACAGCCGTAATGGAAGAGTGGCATATGTCAGGGGGCCCTTCCCGTGGAGTGAGGACTTACCTGTGGTTGATGATACGGTGGACAGTCATCCACTCTGGCTTGATGCCAAAACGATAGTACTTCTCCTCCATCTCTGCATAGTGTGGATCTTTCACCTTGCGCTTGTCACTCTTCCCATCATCCTCACCAGAGCCATAGTCCAGGGGTGGCGGCTCATCCATGTCATTCTTCCTTTGGTAGTTTCGGTACATTACCAAGTGGAAGATTTCCAGCTGATGGGGCACAGAAAAAGAGCGAAGTGATAGTTCCAACATCCAGAGGACAAAAGGGGGGTAGAGAAGAGGCCAGCAGGGGAAAAGGCATGGGAACGAAAAAGCTATGAAAGGCCAGATGAGACACAGTAAGCTGTCTTAGAAAGCAGTTTGGAAAACTAGGGAAACACATATGGAAACTAAGTCAGTAGGTAGGTGAAAAAGACTAGAGGACCAAAATGAGAGAAAAACAGAGCTAGGGAAGTCTAGAGACTGAGATAAGAACAAACGGATTCACAGAAAAGGGAGAAGAGAGGTCCTGATACCTGAAGCTCCTTGGCCCAGGAGCAGTGCCAGTAGGACAGTCCTACCCACTTGACAAAGAACTCTCTCTCCGATCTGCCTTGAAGAGGACGAGGGGGTGGGGCATCTGTATTTCCATCAGTCTGTTGGGGGGCTGGCACTGCCACAGGTGGCTCCCCCCACCGCCAATGCAGGATCTTCTGCACACGACCTTTCAGCACAGGGCACTTTGGATTGACACACACAAGGAAAGAAAATAGCCCATTACTAAGCAGAATGATAAGGGTTCCCAAAGGGAATCAAAGGCCAAGTGTAGGGGAGCAGAGAGAAGGACATTTGGATCCTAGAGGTAGAGAAAAGAAGGCCGACAGTAAACCTGGAGAGGTGAGCCCACTCACTGTGCATCGGGGACACAGCCATTCACCGTTGGGGATGTCAGGCAGGGGTGGGTTCAGACAGTGGATGTGGTAGGAGGAGATGCAAGCATCGCAGCACAGCAGCTCCCCACCATCCTTGCACACGCGGCAGTATTCCATGTGATCATCCTCTTCCTCCTTCTCCCCTTCTTCTTCTCCTTCCTCTTCATATTCTTCCTCCTCTTCCTTGGCCTCCCACTGAACCCCCTCTTTCTCCTGGGAGACCAAGGACAGACACAGACATAGTAAGAGTGACATGGAAGACAGAAGCAAAGGCAGGACACCTAAACCCTCCAAATGTAGGGAAGACTTGTGGGGACTGAGGAACCAGACTCCTCAGTTCCCAAAACTATTGGTTTGGTGGGGCAAATGCACGGGCAAGAGGAACAAAGCAGGATCCTAGCTGCTGAAATATCTGAGCAACCCAGGCTTCTGGGGGTAGGAAAAGGACAAGCGAAACCAAGGAGGAAGCTGGCAGATAAACAACGTCCCTGAGGGCCCTAAGATGCTGGTACCAGGTACTCACACAGTGGGGGCAGCTCCATTTGCCCTCAGGAGCCCGGTCAAGCTCAGGATCAAGGCAGACGAGGTGGTAGGCACGAGGGCAGGTGTCGCACAGAATAATTTCCCCACCCTGCTGGCACACCTCACAGTAATCCTGGTGATCCGTCTCGTAGCCATCAACCTCCTCCTCCCCGGCCACTGCAGGACAGCCCAGGACTGTCATGTACCCCAGTGGAGGCAAAGGGAACAGAGAGAGACAGAGAGAGACAGAGAGACAGAGATGGGGGAGGGGAGAAAGAAAAGGGTTGAATAAAGAAGTCAAAATTGAAAATAAGACAAGACAACAAAGGAACAAAGGAAAGTAGACTGACAGGATCACACATAGCTAAAGACCCTTACCCTTCTTCTTCTTCCTCCCTGGTCGGCCTCTCTTTAGTTTCTTGGTGCGGACAGGGCCATCAGGCCGGCCTGAGGCACTGTGGACACTGCCACTGTCCAGGTCTGACTCTTCAGCCTCTGCTTCAGGGCCCTCGTCACTCTGCAAAACATACTGCCCATAGCCCCGTGGCTGTCAGGGAGGCTACCTTGACCCCAACCCCCTCCCCCGACCTTTGCTTCTACTCAGCTCCCTCACGGACTCACGTCTGCACTGCAGTCCTTGATATGCCCCCTCAGGTGCTATGAATAGGGGAGGGCCACTCACCGAACCGCCCTTCTTTCTCTTGCCACCCAACAGCCCTAGTTTGATTTTAAGTGGTGCCATCTTCTTTCCCCGAAGCTTCTTGCGTCCATCGGGCACTCGGGGACTCTTACTCCGCCTCTTATGGCCTGGACCTGAATGACAAGTGGTAAAAAAGCACAGGTCATGACATTCTGGAGAGAAGGAGGTCACAAAGGCCTCTGGAGTCCTGTCTGCAGGCTACAGTTTCACCAAGACTCTTTCCTAGAAAGCATTTCCCTACAATCGTCAGGGCGGAGGAGACAAAAATGCCCTAGACTATAATTTAAGAACATGTGGCTTGGAGGGTAGGGTCAGTAGCTGGAAGGAGAGGTTTCATACCTTTGCCCTCTTTGGTTTTGGCGCGTCGGATGGGTGGGGGCTGGATATCGGCAGCAGGGGGTGGCAGGAGGGCAGGGGTTCCGGAAGGGGGCGTAGGGGTAGCCGATGAGACAGCAGCTGACACCTGCTCAGCCACAGCTGCAGCCGCCGCTGCTGCCGCCGCCGCCACAGCAGCTGCTGACCCCTTGAAGGGATTGTTGGCGCTGAACTCTCTCCATTTGGCCCCGAGGATGGTCATCATCTTGGACATTGGGATCTTAGGGTTCTTCTTAGCAATTAGGGGCCTGTAAATATAGAAGCAGAAGACTCAGACCCTTCACAGATGGCCTGGGAATACTGCCATTTCCCCTCATCAATTAAGTCTACGTACAAGCTGGGATTCCTGGGTGGTGAAAATATGTCCTATCAAGAATAACATCCACTTAAAAACAAATTAGTTTAAAAAAAAATGTTTAAACGAGAGAAACTAAAAAAAGTAGAAAAAAGCAAAATAAAATTTAAATGCACAGAAGATAAAAAAAGATAAAGCCAATATAAAAGAAAGAACACGAGTAAAAACAGCTTTACCTTTTTAAAAAAGATTTTTATTGGCCCTCCCTGGTGGCGCAGTGGGTTAAAGCACAGCACTAAGAAGCTTAAGCCAGTTCCGCATGAGTTCGATTCCCACCTGGCCCGGAGGTGACCACATGGCGAGCCAGACCTCTCCTGACCCGCCCGCTGCTCCCCTCAGCAGTGTACTTCGTAGATCTGCCTGTTCTGCTCCCCGCTCTGTCTCTGGTGAAGCCTCTCGCCGCCCCTGAGCCTCTGGCCTGTACCCCAGTTCTGTATGCACAAATAAATAAATCTTTAAAAAAAAAAAAGATTTTTATTTATGTATACATACAAGAACTAGGGTCTAGGCCAGAGGTGTAGGGGGTGAGAGGATTCACCCAAGACAGAGCGGGGAGCAGAACAGGCAGATCCACTGAAATACACTGCTGAGGGGTGCAGTGGGCAAGACAGGAGAGGGCTGCTGCACCATGTGGGTCAGCTCCGGGGTTGGGGGTAGAACTAGTACTGCGCTGGCTGCAGACACAAGAGGACCTGAGCCTCAGCAAGATGCCTCCAGAGCACTGGACTGCTGCTGTCCCCCAAAGGGCACTTCTGTTAGTCTCTACTTGGGGAGCTACAAAGCTCAGGCCCTGCTGCCAGCAGTTCATCTTTTATTATAGGGGCTTAAGAAAGGGACAGGGAACTTGATAACTGAGTTAGGAAAATTTCAACTCTTAGGTAGAGAGAGGTCTTGTCGGGGAAATCGAAACTTTTAAAACAGGTGAGCCATTAGTTCTCACTCTATTCTGTCATTACAGTTTTCTAACCTAACCCTGGACTATGACCCAAACCCCTGCCACCCCCTTCCCCCACAGTGAAGAATGCCTAACTGGGATCCTTGGGGCCTCAGGAGTCCAGGAATTCCCTGAAATTATGTAAACTGGGATCCTTGGGGCCTCAGGAGTCCAGGAATTCTCTGAAATTATGCAAACTGGGATCCTTGGGGCCTCAGGAGTCCAGGAATTCTCTGAAATTATGCAAACTGGGATCCTTGGGGCCTCAGGAGTCCAGGAATTCCCTGAAATTATATGTGGAGTTTTGTGTGTACCTGCTGTGAACTTCTCCGGAGAGTATTTTCTTAGCTTTTATCGGATCCTAGAGGGGTCCAGGCCTCCCCCAAATGAAAAATAGCTTCTTGAGAAGTCCCCAGTCCTAATGCACGCACCTCATAAACTGGCTAAAGGCTTTGTAGTTGGTGAGTGTGTGATAATCCTCCTCAGAGAACACATGCTCCACATCCTCCAGGCCCCAGGTCAGAAGCAGAGTTGCTGACGACTTCTGTTCTACCTGCTGGGAGAGACCAGACTTCAGGGGGACAGGTGCTTCTCCAGCCACGGTCATGAGTCTCCTCTGGGCCTCTCTACCTCCCTGTTCAATTTTCCAACCCAATCCCCCAACACACCACGGATGCTCCCCTCAGCACCACTTCCTTGGGGCTCTTCCTCCTCCTCATGCCTGTCTTTAATTACTCATTTCTCTCCTCACTCCCTAATTATTCTACTCACCTTTTGTCCTCCATCTCCCTCCCCTTTTTTCCGCCGCTTTGTCTTCTTCTCCTTTTTTTCCCGGTGCTTCCGTCTCCTTTTCCGACCTGGTCCCATTCCATATTCACTGCCTCCACTCTCTGACTTCTCCCGGTACTCATCTCGTTCAGAACCAAATTCTTCTTCACTGTCCTGAGAAATAAAATAACATTTCTTCAGCCCTACCATGTGCCAGAAAATGTTCTTAGCATGTAATATATATTATCTCTTTTAAAAATCTTTGACAATGGTCCTGTGAGATATTAACTAATCGATTTTTATTCAGTTATTGTGGAAGAAGAAACGGAGGCACAAAATGCCAAATAAACTGCACAAGAAGATACAGGACTGCTGGGCTCTGAAATCATGCAGTCTACCTCCAGAGCTTGTGCTTTCAACAGCTTCTTTGCTACTAAGGCAAGTCACGTCAACAACTGGGATCTTCACTAGGCTGTAGTGAGTGAGACTAGAGCCCCAGATCACTGACATACAGGCTAGCAAGAGAGGGGGAGAGTTAGGCCTCCTGGACTTCTTCAGGACCCCCTGGTGAGTAAAGACCAGAGAAAATCTAGGTCTCTGGGAATGGGTATCCTGAACCTTGCTGCAGAGACAGGAGTCCTTAACACTTACAAGCTTCTTGCGTTTTCGGGGTTTTCCTGGCTTGTTCTCCTTCTGCTTCTTGGGTCCTCGTTTTCTCTTCTTCACACCCAATGCTGAAGGCAGCAGCCGAATGTCATCCTTATCTTTGGAGCAGAGAGCACCAGAAAACCTAAGCCTCTAGGTTCCCGTTCTTTGTGGCCCCTCAACCTCACCCTTCTCACCTCCTGGGTTCCCACTCTCTAGGAACTGCGGCATTAACTCCTCCAAACCCTGCCTCCCTTTGCTGGATGCAAACAGAGAGTATTTCTAGTACTCTGGGATGCTCTGGTTCTGAATGGGAGGTCAGGGGTCAGAAAAGAAGTGCAGCCAAACCACTCCCTTCTCTCCCCTCCTACTAACAAGGAACCAGGCTCTAGGCCACGAGCTCTGACTGTGGCAGGTCCTTTCAGTCGCCGCCAGGGCTCCTCCTGCCTTCCCCCTCACTTAGCCAGCTGGCATCCTGCCCGGGAACTGGGGAAGCCATGCCCAGCTGCTGGCCTGGCCTGACCCCAGCACTTGGAGTGGGGAGACACAAGCTGGCAGCTCCCTAAGCCAGATGCTGAGAAGGGAGAGCCAAAGGTGGACACCTGGGTTCTCACACTAACACCCTGGGGCCCTGATGTTCTTTTTTCTAAGAGGGAGGTCTCTATTTATGTTTCCTCAGATAATCACCAAGTCTCTTGTCACCCCAACACAGCCCTGGAGGAACAGAATCCTCAGCCAGTCATTTTCACTTCTTGCCCACAAGATCACAGTGTCTGGCTCCTTCCTCACACTAAACCCAACAGGGAAAAGTCACCACAATTACCTAAATATTCCTCCTCTTCCCATGGAGTCTGGGATGTCTCTTCAACTCTATTTCCATATCCCTGTTCCCTATGAGAAATAAGAGTCCCTATTCCTGTTCCCCTGATCTCACCTTTTCTCTCCTAGTTCCAGACATCCCAACACATTCATATATAAGCACTATGGGAGATACAGGCAGAAAAATACTGCGGATACAGTCTCAAGTGCACACACACACACATTCTCCTGAGCACTAATCCTGAGGACAGCCTGTACCTACTTTCAGCAACGTTAGATCTCTGGTTTTCTCCCCTAATGTTTCTGTCAAAGAGGGGGGGTTCCTTCTTCTCTGATAGACCCCCGCCCCGTTCTCCTTGACCCCTGCCAGTCTGTGGAGGCTCTGCAGAAAGTTACTCCATGTAGTGGCAGATACCGATGCCCCAAGACGCGGCCGCCTACCCCCAGCAAGCACCAGACTAACCAGCCAGACCTGTCTTGCTCTGGCAGAGAGAGGCAGCAGTGCGGGAGGGGAAAGCCTGGCCTGGCCCAGCCCCTTGCCCTAGGACACACAATCCTTCTTCCCTCAACAGCCAAGGGAAAATTAGGCACAATTAAGGCTGGAGGTCTTAGTTTCCTTTGCCTAGGAACTCTGGCACCTCCTTCCTGCAATGTTACCTCTCTTCCTAACTCCAGCATCCTGTGTCTTCTCTGCAGGAAGACACGCTAGGATTTCAGCTGGGGGTTGGGAGTGTGGCCTCAGAAGGCCCCTGGTGTGAAAATAGAGTAGGGGCTGTAATGGGAAGTCAATAAAACGCTATGCTCCGGCAGCCAGCTCTCCCTAACCCCAGGGATTTCAGTTATTATGAAAATGGAAACGGAGGATGCCGGGGCAGTGGCAAGGGCAGGCCAACTGGCTAAAGATCAGGCAAACGGCCTGGGTCACCACCAGCTGGCGGCAGGGCACATGCCAGGGCCCTCTCGGCCTGTGCAGGTCACTCCCCTCCAATGGGAAGCTCCAGCCGAAAGTGGCGGGAGAAGCAAGGTAGAATAGCAAGGAAAGGGAAAGGGAGGGCAATAAAGCAAATCTAAGCCCCAACCTCGGTCTCACCAGCCACTCAATGCTGGCCCGGCGCCCAGACTCTCCCACATCCCCGGCTCAGATCTCGGGAACGCGGCGAGGAAGGAGGGCGGGCGAAGAGGGGAGGCGGGGCCTGGCGCGCGGAGCCAGCGGGAGGAGTCTCGCGGCAAGCCTCGCCTCCTGCCCGCCCCTCTCGTCTCCTAATCTCACCATCAATCTCTCACACATATATTTATTTTTTCTCAAATTCCCCTCCCTCCCCCACAACGAACCACCATAATAGGCCTGCTGCACATGCGTGTTGCATGCAGGGGGTGGGTTTGTATTTTCAGACCTTTTGCAAAGAAACTACCAGAATTTTCCGCACCACCCACAATCATTCCCCACCCCCACCCCTAAGGAATCACATCTATATATTATATTATTTCTCTAGACTTGCCAGAAGGGGGAGGGCGAAGAAATGAGTTTTTGGCTTCCTGTTCCCTTCCCCCACCAACACAAGTGCTATTATTTTAAACGTTTAACAATGTAAGGAGACTGGAAAGGGGGGAAGGGATAAAATTGGTCTTGGGTAAGAATGTAAAACAGAATGGTGAGAATCAAAGCAGTCAGAAGGAAAAACAATAGAAACCTCTAATGCGTACAAGGATGAGGGAGGGCAGGCTGAATAATTTCCTTAGAGAAGGGTTATTTTACCCACACTTAAGTAGACAGAAATAATGAGCAGACTAAAAATATGTTCCCAAAGTTTTACCTAAAAGTCATCTGAGGGGGTGTATCTGGGTCACTCATTTGACTTGGAGGTCTGAAAGGAAGCTAAAATTGAGCTGGCAGAGAGGAGGTGGGTTTTCATTTAAAACTTACATACAAGAAAAATTGACGTTTCTTCCCCATGCAGAAAGCAAGGAGGGATGGGGAGGGAGTACTGACACAAAGACCCATCGGACCTCAGATTCTTTCATGCTCCCCTCTCTCACAGATCCAAATTCTAGGTCAAGAACCCCCAAATATCACATTCCAAGCTCTGAATACAAATAGGAGACAGCTGCCAATCTCCTAACATAACCTGACAACCCCCCCCTTTTTTTAGCACCACTGCTATTTTCCATGGAAGCCCCTCCCCAAAATTCTTTATTCCTTTTCCTTCGTGCAAAATCAATGGGCTCTGTGGAATAACTTTTTAAAAACTTTTCCCTTTGTCAGACAAAGAGGGGGAGGGCTTTATCCTGTTTCCATCAGACACACATCCTCCCCATAAGCAAGCACCCCCACACTCCCTCAAGGGTAGTCTCAACTATACAGGAACATTTGCCACACATCTGACAGTTGTACAAAGCACGGTGTTGGATCGTTTTGAAGTTTGGTGCATTTGTGCTGCAGGGTACCCAGTGGGTGGGGGGTGTGTGTGTGTGTGGTGTGGATGTCCTCTTTCATTCTCCAAGGTGGGTGTGAGTATCCTAAACATGCTCACCCATCCTAAGGAAGACTAGGTAACTCCACTAGGAGGGTGGTCTGAGTGGGGCCCCTGCTGAGCCCCTGATGTGAGGCAGCAGTCCCGTCTGTCCCCTCCACCACTTGGTGGAACTGTCCAGAGAGTGCCGGGAGACTTGTCAGCCAGGGGCGGGGTGCTGAGTGATGATCAAGCTGCAGAACAGCTGGGTGGGCAGTACATGCCCCCCAACGTGGTCAGGGTGTGGGTGGTTTCAACCAGAGAGTGACAGTGAATGGCAGCCACGTGAGAGTCACAGCTGGGCAGCGGAACCACCCCAGACTGACGGGGTCATACCCCCACACACACCCCGCTCCGCCCCCCCCCCACCCCAGCCGCACTTGACACAAAAGAGCCCAGAGGAGGTGAAGGGGTTGGAGTTGGGGGCATCTGGTTTCCCAGACACTCTCCTTTACTCCCCAATCTTAAATGACTGCTCTCCCTCTTAGGAACTGGGGGGACCTTATTCCAGGAAGTGGTCTGCAAGGAGTGTGGCCACCACCTACCCTTAGTCCTCAGCTGCCCACAAACATTCCCACGACCCCTCCCCCGCGTTGTCACCGAACCCCCCCTGAGTTGGCGGGCACCTAAGTACCCGCAGGTGGGGGGTGGGCTCCGATGGACACCGTCCCCTCCTGTCTTCCAAACGCCAGGGGAGACGGGGCTACCGCCGGGGTCCGCTCCACACGCGGAAACCCCACTCTACTTCTGTCCAACCCCACCGGGACTGGAGCCCGAGGGGCGCTCGCGCGGCCACCCCTCCCCCACGCGCCCCTCCCCCACGCCGCCGTCCGGCCGCCAGGGTCTCCGCGGTCCCTCGCTCGGCCAGGGAGGGGGCCCTGGCTTCGCCTCGGCCGTTTCCTGCCTACCCCCTCCCCGCCGAGGGTAAAAAAATCTCCTCCTCCTCCTCCCCCGAAAGCCGCGACCGAGTGGCCCGGTCCGCGCGCGCAGCTCGCGCCCAGCGCTCTCCAGCCCCGGCGGCGGC